CACTGATAAAATAACTTAGTAGCTTTTCAGAAATGGTGCGAAAGAAGCTGTTTTCCTAACAAGGTCCCCTCTCTTTACCTTACCTAAGAAAACTCCTCAGTGTGAGGTTTTTGAAAAGCTAGAGCACAGTAGCTGCTTAACTTCCAGCAGCTCTGACCTTCAGATACTATTTCTCCCAATGCCCCTTTTTACCTGTATATATGCTGGAAATCAGATTATTTCTAAGAGTGGCTACAGTGGGCATTGAAATTGCGAGTTTTTGCACGTTGTTTCCTTTCTGAACATGGCTATTACATGGATAAAAGACACCTGGAATCAAGCATAAATAAGGAGATTCTGACGCCTCGTAAACTCAAACAAGAATTCCATTTTTGGTATAAGCTTTAAAATACCAAAAGCACACACTCTTGTACTAGTTGTACTGAAAGATGCCCTTCTTCCATAAAGGACCGTTGTATTCATGTGTCACTCACTCTTAAATTACTGTAGCAGTACATCAGATCGAAAGAAGGTAAACAGTTGAAATAAAATCTTTAATTGCTTATTTACAACAAAGGCAATGACTTGGCAAATTGAAAATCATGATTTGCACTTTCCCACTAATTTCAGATACAGCAAGTACATAGTCAACTATAAAACATGCAGCCTAGTGAGTAAGGCGCAGTATTTACATCACACTAGTACTGCAAAAAAAGCACTTAAGATGAATTTACTGTGACAGCCAGAAGTTAAACATTTATCCTGTAAATGCTAACAACGCTGAAAAAGAAACTTCAGATGTCACTTAAGAGGTCAGTGCTCTAGGGTTTGTTTTTTTGTCAGATTGCAAACATGCAATAGTAGTAAAAATCTGGTAATGGGATAAAAAACAATACCCCTCTGATTTTGTCAGTTTTTGCAAAACAACATTTTGATATAACTTACTTCTTGGTCTGAAATCTAATGCTAGTAACTCCAGTATTAGACTAGCTAATTAGTGTTGGGGTGTTGGGGTTAAAACAAACAAACAAACAAAAACTACTATTACATTTGAATCCAGGCTGTACTAGAAGCATAATACAATAATCACACACACACATTTATGAATACAAATTTCTACAGACACGTTGTCAAGATATCCTGCTTTAACAGCTTAAAAACAACTTAAGTGTTAAAGAATTTATTGCAACCCAAAATAAAGAAATCAGTTTTGTTTTCCACTTCCTTTTTGACATCCTTTATTCCCCTCCTCCATGTATTTTAAGGTAGTAACCATTACTCTTATTTCAGAGGGATAGGAAAAGAGTAGTCAAGAGCAAGGTATCAATCCAAAACCTGTCATCCTGGCTGTCTCTGAATGTGAAAGACTTAAATATGAGCTACAAGAACAACAGATATGCCAACGGTATGTTCCGGGCATGGAATTATGTAGGCCTGTAGGGAATGCTTACTTTGTATAGATTCTTTACTGACGCTCTGTAATAATAATCTTCAAAAAGGGGTTTTATTTAGCTATGCAGGAAAGGGAAGAAGATGGCATCTGTACACAAGTTACCATTTTGCCCACACTCCATTCAGCACTGGGGTATGGAAGTTACCATCATTAAGAGGACAACCAAAGCTAATACACACACTTTTTGCTAATGTCCTCCTTAAATTACATTCTTGAAATTAAGTTCCCATTGCTAGTAGTACTTACACTTCATCTTTAGAAGAGCAGAGTATTTTTCCAAGTGTTTCTTTTGGAATAATAAAAGTTAGTGGGATTTTGACATGATGTGTGAGTGTTTAGCAGTTTAAGGAGTTGGTTCTTAAGATTTATGCAGAAACCTTCACAGTGTGCGTGTTTTATATTCACGGGGTACTCACAGCCACTGACATCTGTTACAGATTCAGAATTCAGATGTTAGTTGCAGCTATATCCTCTTCCTGTCTGCGCAGTAGCTTTTCCAAACCTTCCAACTTTCATCGTTAATAGTACTTGTTAACAGAACACGTGTGGCGAGTATACAACAGACTCCTTGACACGTTCCAAGAAAAGGTGAGCCTAACTTTTATCCAAAGCTTTCTCTGACAAGTTGTGCTCTAGTTCGGGTGACTCCTCAGCATCTTGAACAGAAGTGTTATAAATACCATCAACTGCAGGGGCTGTTGTCGGTGTTGTGAGAGGCGTCACAGTGTGTCCAAACCCCTGATAATGACCCATGGGTGAAGATGGCATTGAAGAAGCATCAGAAATTGGGTCTTGAGTAGATGAAGACAGTAAACTTGTATGCTCGTTTTGTTCATGATCCTCAGCGAAAAAGATTTTCCGTGGCTGGCCCAACACTGTCCTTCCTAGAGTTATGCCAAAGGAAAATACTTTTTTTAGTACTTCCAGCACTATACCGAGGTCTTTGAACACATCAACTCTAAAACAGGCATGTTAAATAAGTCTTTGTCTTATAATAGTTTTTCATGGGCATTGTTAGCTTTAACAAATAAAAGGATGGTCTTTCCATTTAAAAAAAAAAAAACAACAAACCCACAACCAAAAAGGACATGCCTCTCTTCTACCTAACACACCCGAAACTTACCCTAAGATCCATCTGTTTAAAAGAAAAATTCAAAACTAGACTCTAAATCAGTCAGGAGTTCTGGAAAGAGCAAAGTGCCAGATAAACCATGAAATCCTCTAGGGATGCAGCTGCCACTAATTTAGCATGAAATGTTCTCAAGGTGAGATGGATAATAGTGTATGAGGAAGCTGGAAATACACATACTGTTAACAGATCATACAAATCTGTTTGTTACTTACCGACATTTCGAACCTGTTCCGATATGTCTGCCCTTATATCAGAAATATCCCACATGGCAAGAAAAGAGTCAAAGCACGACCCTTCCTCAGCTTCTTGAACATAAGGTTTATAGGAAAAACTGTAGTGATGTGCAATAGCAGCCAGGAACATCTCAACACAAATGATAAAATCCTGCAATGAGAGACAGATTGACTTAATCATTCCTAACTCAAGAAAAAAGAGTTCCTGGGTTTCTCCTACAACTGAAAGACTGCAATTGCGTTGGGATACTGGCATCAGCCTCTCTTCCACCAGAGGCAGGATATTCTCAGCAGGTTTCAGAGAGCCATGTCTACTACACACATACTGGAATCTCCTTGCCTGACGGACTGACTTGCTGGAAGTGGATATTCAACAAAGAGCAGCTCTATGATGAATTCTTGCAAGGGGAAAGGCAAGGATATCCCACAGAAGTACTTAACTGGGGCACGTTCCTTCTGCTCCAGCCATGGATATAGAAGCGTTGAGCATAAATCTCACTTGGGGTGACTGGCTGAAACAGCCCAACTTGAAATAAATTCAGTACTAATCTAGCCTATGTCAATTAAAGTGAGTATGACAATGTTTGCTCGAGATCAGCTACGTCATCTTCCATATAGCCATTCCTCTCAAGAAGTAACTGTCCATTCCTACCTGCAAGCCTGTAGCCACAGCTTCCACACTTTGCCATTCCCAGGTGTGTTTCTCAGAAATAACGCCAACTTTTACCAACAACGCAATGAGCACAGCTTGCCTATAAAGATTATTTTTATTAATATTATTATTTTAACAGTAGCACCAAAAAACCTCCAAGCAAATCTGGTAAATGAGGCCTGTTTGTATGTGTATGTACATATATGTACATAGGAAGAATCTTATAAAAAACGTACTGTTTATATATTTAAAGAGGAGGAAAACAAAACAAAACTGATTTTAAAAGAGATGTCATTCATTCGTGATCCTAAAGACCAATAGAGAACACAACCAAAGAAGAGTTTGTTGTTCCAGTTAATTCCAGAAGTTGCTTCTCTTTAGGGTATTACTGCAGCCCACAGAGTAATGTTCAGATAGTCAAATGCACTCACTCTAACAGCTAAGTGTGAGTGATTTAAAATAGTAACTTGTTCTGAAAAAGTTATTTATTTTTACTTTAAAAAGTAAAAAAAAAAAATGTCATTTTTGGTTTTGAAATAACTGCAAGTGAAGATTCTCAAATGATATTCTTGAGAATCACCTTACAAAATAGCAAGTCTAAAAAATAATCTCAACTGAACAAGAACGATCTGTCCAACCCACTAGTACCCTTTTCCCCTGACAGCACTTCACTAACATTATGGGTAGTTTTTTTGAGGCCTCTAACCTCAGTAACAAATCCAGCCTTTTTAGCTCCTTTATGATCTGCCCTGAGAGCAAGAAGCAGTAAGTAGATAATTCACTTACCAGAAAGAAACAAAAACGACCATCTTCACACAAAGGAACTTGCCAACAGGTTGGATAGGGTTCAGTTCTTCACGTAGTACTTTATAAAACAGCACCAGACAATACATAGCAAACTAACAAGGAAAAGAAAATTAAGAAAAGCTTTTGAATCCGTGTTTATTTTGTGAGGGAGTTGTTTTACAGCATCTCTTCCATTAAAAAAAAAAATATATCACAGTATGATACAAACTTAAAAAGCTATCTGTTTTAGAAAATATGTTCTTTGCCTTACTGTTTTAAAGCAGATTTTTTCCCTTGAAATTGTATTTCTGAAATGCATGGTACTGGCAGACAGAGACTAAGATCATCTATCTACACACCCAAGCAAAGCACAGGAAGGTCCCATAACATCTTTTCAATGCCAAGCACATCTCTAGGGAAAACAGCATAAAAAGCACATGTTCTTTCAGGCTTCTGTGAAGAACGTCTCAAATGTTGCCTCTTTATGAGAAACGAGGCAACGAATGAAATCTTCATTGCAAACCTCAACAAGTTTCTATTAATGACAACTGCAAGCAACTGAACAAATGCATGGCCAAACCTAAGGCACTGATCTCCCCTCTTCACACACACTCTCTTAGCAGTTTCTTGACACAATCATGTCAACCAGGACATGCAGAAGTATGTGTTGCTGCTGGGAGTTGTCACTGCAGAAAGCAGTTACAGCTCCTTCCGTAACAGTTACCCATCAAACATGGTGGTGGCAGTAGGAGAAGGACACCTTTTTTGGATGTCATGCTCTTCTGACTGACTCCTTCTGCTGTTGACGAGAAGAAGCTTGGAGGCTAAGCAACAAGCAGCCACAGCTGCTGCTCTCTCCTCTAGCTCACATGTAACGTGCCCCAGGTAAAGCAGAGAATGATTCCTCTGCATTCCCAGCAAGCCACTAAATGCAATCCCTGACCTCCGAAATGAAATTTTCGAGCCTAGTGGCTGACATCTTACCCTGACATCATCTGCCAAAGGAACCAGCAAGACAAGGTGTTAGACAAGCCAGAATCTCAGCACTGCATGCACCGTTTCCATTTTTTCTGTCAATGTTGTTACTGCCAGCTTTGTAACACAGTATTTTTAACATCACCACTGCTGATTCTTTGTGTGTGTGCTGGGAGGAACCTACTGGGGTGACTGAACTCATCTCTTCCGCAGAAGGGCAAGTCTGCAGCTCCAACATGCTTGGGCCACACCACTTCACCCATCAAATAGTTTGAGGTAGAGGGGGGACACTTCATTGCTTTATGGAGCTTCATAGCAAGAATAATAAAAGTCTTACAGGATCTGTTTTCCTAGTATTTTGCATATATAGTATTTAGCAGATAGTAACTCTGACTTACAGTGGGAAACACTCTACTCATAAAAATTACCAGACATTAACACAATTACTGTCAATAGTTCACATAAGAAGATGCACATAATACTAATACAACGACTTAGAAGAGCAGAAAGAGGTACTCTTGATACTCACTAGCTGTGACATGTTGTTAAGTATAACCAAGTAAGTCCAAGCATTGTTGAAGCTGAAGTTTCCTTCATCATACACCCCCACTAGTTCACAAATTCTGAAAGAATTTTTAGAATTAATCACTATGGAGTAAATGATCGCTTTCTTGAAGTGCTAAACCTTCATTACATCGATCAACTGTTAGAATCCAAAATCTCTTCTGGTACTCAAATGTGGACACTGGGCGTCTGCACAAGAATCAGTTTCCAAGAGCATATGGCGTAGGAAGTTCGTATTCTATTTTCCATAGAAGAAATAGTGTTTGAATGCCGAGTTAACATATCCCGTTATTGAATGAATTCAACAATTAAACATCATTTTTTTTCAGCTGCTTTGCTTTTAACTGTTAGAACATATACAGCTAATATAAACGTTTATATGGATATTCTTTGTGAGTAGCAACTTCTTCCACCATCCCACAGTAATGGCTATCAATACAAAGTTCACATAATTAAGCTTTCAGCATCAACATGCATAACTGCCTGCTGTTCCTTTACAACAACAGGTTATATGATAGGTATGAAGGCACACAGCCAGGCTTGTCACATGCAAAGTTCAATAAAACATAAAAAGTAACACGAAACCTGACTTTAAAAATACCCAATTGTTGAAGCCAATAAGGAAAGACAGAAGGAGGAAAAAAAGACTCTACAAATTAAGAGATCATAAAAACGCCTTTCCCACATAAACAGTACTTCACATTCTCTCCCACTGCTTTCAGCAGCAGGCATTAAGTATTTATTATTTCAACTCTGCAAATAGTCATTTGTTATAGAGGAAAACATAGGTGGATTCAAATTGCCAGGACCCATGTAGCATGTAACACAAGTCTGCTTTCAAACTGCCTTGATTCAGTAGAAAGGGCATGAAAACTCTTCCCAGCGTAACTCAAAATTACATCCTGAAGATCAACGTTAATGATTTATGACGATACTTACAAAGCAATGATGGTAGTAAATGGTCTGACTACAGTGTACTGCAAAACACCCAGTTTACATCTAAACAACAAAACTCTGCAAGAGAAACACAAAATTCATCGTACAAGAATTTAAGGACAATTCACTTATGGAAGTTCCCTGCTCTCAGTAGTTTCACTAAACTGAATTTTTATTTTATGGTAATTTCAATTTCTGCTTCCAGGACTTCAGATGCTACAGTGTATAGTGTGTATACATGCAATACATAGAAGACCTAGACTTTTATAGATCCATAACAGGAAGTATTCAATGATCCACTTCTTTTAGCCATGGAAAGATTCTGGCTGGGCTAAACAAAGAGAATGCAATTTTCACTGTGTTTGAAGATACTTAAGAATGACTTACGTTCACAGTTTGTCTTTAATATTTTAAACAGCTTTATAAAAATCTCTTAAGAGAGATGCTTATCAGATTAAGCACGCAAAAACAAACAGTTCATGGACATATAGCCTTTTGTCCTTCACCTACAGAAGTAAAAGCCATAGGCTATCTGGTCCACCAGCAATTCCACATGAGATTTTTGGCAAATATCATATGATAGCGAAGGCAGTGAATTCAAAGAGACCTTTTTCCAGTATTTTTCAAAAATAAGGGTATTTCCTTCAGCATCACCTGAGTCAATGCACGTTAGTAACTGTGACTTACAGGATGTTTCACAGCTAGGTGAAAACACGTTCACAGCTGCTTTCAGTAGGGGCTCATAGCCAATAAACAAAACGTGTGCAAACCACAAACCGACCGCGGGGCCACAACAGTTATGCTACTAAACAGGAAAAAATTTTTGTATCTGATTACACAGCTTAAAATTTTGAGATGTCATCATATACTCACTCTCCCATAGCCCACGATGGACAACAACATAGAGGTGGCAGATGTCTCTGCTGATCCTTCGCTTCTATTATTAATACGAGGTTTGGATACCGGTTAGTTAGATAATTGGAAAGAAAAACCATAAAATTATAGATGACATAAGCTTCATAGCATTCTCGACACGTGTCCACGTATATCGCAATGTTGGGGTATTTCAAAGCTATCCACTGTAAGAAGAGAGGTACACAAAAGGTTACAACAGGAAAGGCAAAAGCAATTCAACGACAACACTGCCTTGGCTAGTTCAGCAAGCCAGACTTCATTAGACAGCAGGCACTAATTAAACAGGGCTTGAAGCGTTTGGCTAGTAAAAGTGTGATGCTACAGCTAGAAAATAACGTTCTGTAAAAGCACAAGTGGAACTTCAGACTGCATCCAAATGGAAGCATGCTTAAAGCACTGCGCAAGAGACGCTCTGTATCTTTGTCCACAGAATTTGAGTCTTTAATTTGAAAGTAACTAAGGAAATGGTTCCCTGCACATAACCTACTCCCCTTGGGAGGAGACGAGACAGAACTCTTTCTTGAAATTCACATGTTCCTTGTCAATATGGGTTTGAGAAGTAAGTTTTTAGTCCCTCAGTACAAAGTTGATTTCTTTTGGTATCTAATGTGTAAATGTTTGTTCTGGCACATTTGCAAAATAGAGAAGCAGCAGATTAGCCTTAAAGTGGTAGTTATCCCTCTAAACCAGAATTTCAGATAGAAAAGCTTTTTTTTTTTTTTTTTGGCAAAACTGACTATGGATCAGCTTTCAGAGTTTTCAATTTTTAATTTTGATATCATACTGCTGTTGCACCATTCAGTGCAACTTGTACTACTGGGTGTTTTTTTTTGAGGGGGTGTGGTGGTGTGGTTTTAAATAGAGGCAGCAGGTCTTTTGAGTTTACTTTGCTACCCTAGGTTGTAGTAGAGTGAATGTGCCTTCTCTAACCTTCCTATCAGAACTACAATAAAATCCTTCACATCCTCATCACAATTAAGAAATACTAGAGAAGACATATGCTGCAACACCTTTACATTTGGGGAAAATGTAATACTGCATCTAGTAAACAGAATACAGTATTTGAATCTGAGAAGAGAACTTTACATTCAGCTCAGATTAAGCTCTCTAGGAGGATACCATATATGCAGCAAAGGCCATAAGATCCAGGAGTCTGGGGGAAGATTTCAATATTTCAGACATGTCCCTGAATGCCTGTCTAGAGCTCATTTAATTAGCAGGTAACTTTCTTCCAAAAGAAAACTCTGTACTGGAAACTGAAATATCAACCAGAGGGAGTTGATATTTGCCACAGGAAAAAGATAATGTTTTCTACCCTACTTTCCTTCATTCTCAGAGACTCTAAATCTCAGTCTTTCAAAAAAGAAAAAAAGAGAACATACATAAAGGTGACACTTCATAAACAAAGGAAAAGTTCCTAGAAAGCTTTCTTTTATGAGGGAAACAGAAGTATTTGCAATGTCAAGAGTCAATTACAACACGCAAACACATATCCCGTACAGTCCACAGATTTAGTACGTTGCTTAGCTCTGGCTGAAATCACCTCTATGTGTGGAGCCACAGGCGATGTATTTACATGAACTGGATCTGGTATGGCCAATAGAATCTGTCACATAAAAGTACTCAGAAATGGATTTTTTCGTGGGATCTGACCCTTTGCCCCCTGAAGCAAAAAAGGAAGAATTTTAGCACTAAGTGAAAGTACTAAGCCTAACTTGGGAAAGAAAGGTAAGGCACTGAACTTTGAGACTGTGCTTGGATCAGTCTGGTTCCCAGTTTGACTGTTACTGAAGATGGAAGGACTGAAAGTGGGCTCCTGTCATACCCCTTTCCACATCTGTCAAAGTATACTCAAGGACAGAAAAGAGTAAGAAAGGTTAGCAAAAGCGCTCCCACAAACTCCACAAGGAGAACATAATACTGCCAGAACTATGCTTCTGACGTACTTCCATAAATAAGAATGCCCAGAAGCTTCTAGGACTACAACTCTGCATGCAGAGTTGTTTTCGCTAACTGTGACACTGTTTTCCCTCACTCCCACAGCAAACAGAATTTTATTGAGCTGTTAACAGTAAGAGAACACTTACACTGTCTAAACTGTAAATCGGCACCATCCACAGAATCCTGTTACAATAACAAAAGAACATTTAATATTACTAGAAGCATTTTCAGTCTGAATTAAATTCAACACTTGTAGCACGGGTAAAAAGTGAAACGTTACCTTATTATTGGTTTCTGTAATTCGGGTTGAGTATAATGAACTAAGTGTTGTAGTATTCCCCAGAGAGATATTGGTATAGTCATTAGGAGAAATATCCCAGCGATAAACCATGCCTTGGTATGAATTCCAACCTTGAAAAAAAAAAAGAAGAACGCAAGATCAAAGTTTCAGTATTAATACTTTAAAGTCTTACTAGTATAGCAAGAAAAATAATTTATCTTTTTTACTGTCAATAAACTTTAAAGAGGGACATTAAGTACATATCCCAATATTAAGTTTAGTTTTTCTAACTGTCCTTTTCAAATACACAAAATCCCAAGGTCTCTCTTGCTTTCTGTTGATGTGGCTTAGAGTAAAACTTAAAAACTCAAAAGAAAAAGACGAGAAATCTTGCAGAACCAAGCAGAAACGCCAATAAACACAAAATGTTCTATAAAAACATAGTAATGCTTACTATTTAATTTACTGAAAGCCACAATGCTTTAGGTCTGGAAATTGTCTCAGTTCAGTGCTTCATTATAAAGTTTCTGAAATCTTGTGGATTTAAAGTCAAGTTCCAACTAGTAACCGATTTCAACTAGTTTCATTTCAGAATCTGAACTAGATATGCATTTATACATATCTGTCTGCTAAAACACAGGGCTATGATTTTAAACGAAAGCTCTCTGAAAAATAACTATATTAATAATTCTAAGTACCAAAAACTGAGAAACACACTGGACTCTTCTCAAGTTTTTTTGTTGTTGATAGTTTCTTGTCTGATCCCCTACTGTACATCAACATCCCACGCCATCTGTTGCTTTCCCGTTCAAAGGCCGCTTCTGAGTAGTTTCTCTATCAGTATCAGATTTAATGATTTTGAAATTTCAGATACCGCGTTGATAGAAACATCCATTATGCCGAACGTACAAAGGCATCAGAAGAAGGTTTCAAAACAGGAAATTTAAAATCCACCCAAGACGGACTTTAGTGCCATTAAGCGCTTAAAACCATGCCGCGAAGAAGGTTCCCTCCAGTGCCACACGCCCGTACCGAGCAGGTCACGAACAGTCGTGTGCCAGCGCCACTACAAAGTGCCAAAACGCAAGCCCTGGGCAGGGCAGCGGCAGAGCTCCGGCCGTGCTCCTGTAGAGACTGACTCCAGTTTCTTCGGCAGCGCTATCAGCTGCTTAAACATCCACTATTGCGGAACCGGAAAGAGAAAGAATTCCTGTCCTGTTCCACCTTGATTCGCTTGCGCTTTAGCAGCGCGACAACCGCCCGCAGCA